GATTATTTGGAATTGGTGGGGATTTTAAGTATTAATCCTGAATTGTATCAGGAGAAAGTGGAAAACATAAAGACGATATTGGTAAATATACACCATCTACTGAATGCATACAGACCACATCAGTCTAGAGAATCATTGATCATGCTGCTCGAAGGTCAAGTGGCTCATAAAAAGAGTGAAATTGAACATATTGAAAATGTATGTCAAGAGATAAGAGAGAAGCTGCAGGGGATTCAGCAAGGTTTATCTAATTGAGAATCGATATTTCAATGATATAAAGGAGTATGTACCATAGTTTCCAATCATATAAATAATAATGATTACGATGATGGATAACTTTTCTAAATATATTAATATGATTATTATTAATGCAATGTTTTATTTAAAATCTATTCTATATACCTAAACCAGGCAAGCTAGACGTTGGACCTACTCCTGGTAAACTGCTCTCAATAGGGTTGTTAAAACTAGATACATTAGATATGCCACTAGTGGTGTCTGCTCCACCTTCTCCAGGCGGTGGTGCAGCTCCAAATTCACTCTTTTCTCTGACAGCGTTAATACAATTGTTTATACCAAAATACCAACCATTGATCTTCTTGTTATTGTAAGTCGGATCATCGTATGCATTAGGATCAACAGGTCTTGCTCTTGTCCAAAATCTTATGGTTCTATCCTTAGCTGCACTTGCTAAAATGTGTCCTACAGGGTTATATGATAATGACGTTATACATTTATCATGTGCATAGGGTACTACATGTGTTGGCTTCTCTAGATCTTGTAAAATATCAAAGTGCTTCAACGAACCGTCATATGAAGCAACTGTAAACATCGTTTCGTTGGTTGGATGCCATTCCAATGTCATGTAATCCACTTCATCTCTATAAACCATCAATTCTCGCATGCTATGTCTTATATCAAATACACGACACGACTTGTCCTTAGAAATTGCTGTTAGAAGATTACCTTTAGTAGGCTGGAATCTTGTTTTTAAAACAGTATGTTTGAAATTCAATAATGATGAGATACATTGACCAGATCTAGGGTCCCACAATCTGATCAAGTTATCCTTCGATGCAGAAACAATAAGACCCATTTCAGGATGCCAATCACAACTCTTAACATCCCAATGATGCCCTGAAAGAACTCTTTCCTGCTGACCGTTGCTAAAATTCCAAATCTTTAAAACGTTATCATCAGCACAAGTGACAAATTTAGAATCGTTTTTGCTGAAAGCAATATCTCGAATACCTTCAGTGTGTGCCCCATCTATCTCTTTCACCATATTAAAATTAGGTTGCCATATCTTAATGGTACCATCAGCATCACCACTAATCATCCAATCTCCTGCATGAGAATAGGTCATCGCCATAACTGAAGTGTCATGAGCTTGCATAATACTCTCGAAATTAAAAGAAGAACCATTCCAAAGTGAGAATTCTCCACTAAAGGTAGCAACAACTAACCTTCTACCTTCTGGAGTCCACTTGATTACAGGAATAACATGCTTGACTTTATTCGAACTTAAATGGGTAAACTTACTGGGGACATTAATAATTCTATCCCCATATCGATAAGCATCTGGAGGCATTATATTAGCAACGTAACTAGTCTCTGGTTCGACAAATGCTAATGGAAGACCATGTTTCTTATAGAAATATAATTTATTAAAAGGTGAACTCATGTCAACAGTTCTTCTTTGAGAGACATATTTCTTTTGCACATTTTGCTCTTGGGTTTGGCTAGATTCCATATTAGCACCTACAAACTAACTCAAACTATCTTCAAACTATCTTCAAATACTCTACAATACCCTCTCCAATTGCTTTTGGACCACTGTTTAACCTTGGTTTAATTGCTATCTGTTTCCTTGCTTGGCTAAAATATCAAAAAAGTTTCAATGCTTTTAAATTGACTAAATTCCATAATTTCAAATGAGAAATAATTAAAAAGAGTTGTTATTATACAGTTATATATAGACAAGTATGTAACTTATAGACCCAATGTTATTGGGAGTGGGGTATGATGTTGTACAGTACTCGAATTTGGGCTTTTTATAGGAATTCTTCCTTATCTTTAATGAATCTAGGGTATAGGTCCCATATTATGCTGAATGTGACAACTAAGATCCAGCATAATAGAGGGAAAAGGAAGATACCGATCCAATGCGTGATATTACCTATTAAGTATGGAAGTAGAGCACCACCGCAACCACCTACAGCCACTGAGGCACCCATTCCTGCTATATGTAAATTCTTTGGTAGAACTTGTAAGAAGACTATGCTTGCGTTAGGGAACAATGGTCCTATGAACACACCTGCGAGGAATATATTCAGCGACAGGAAGAACAAATATAATGTAGAGTCTGAGTTTATAAGACCCAATGCGGCAAACAAAGTGTAGAAGACTACTGTCAGCAGGCCATATGTATATGTTGCCCTATATACATTTTTGAAAGCTCTTTTGGTGACAAAACCTAAAACGAATCTACCAAACGTTAGTCCACTCCAGTATGAAGAAGTCACATACGACATTTTAGTTTTGTTGTCTGACTTGGTGGCCAGCAAATATGTAAACATCCAAGAACCTGTACCTACTTCAGCACCTAGATATAAAAACAGATAGATCGAGTAAAGTAGGATTGCAGGATTTTTCATCAAATCGAAAAAGTGAAGCTCTTTGCTCTTTGGGATTACTATATCTCCATCACTCACTATGTCGTCCTCGTCGTGATGAGCGGTAGCACAGATATAATCGTATTTTGCAGCAGTTTCATATTTAAATGAAGGAATAATCAACAGAAGACCAACTATCGATAAGGATGTTGGAATAAGGAAAAAATGTTCCCATTTACCACTTTGAACAAACTTGTCTACCAGAGGAGGTGTCACCATGGCGGCAGCACCGTACACACCATGTAATATACCCATAAGTTCGCTTGAATGATTTCTCAGACTACCAATAAGGACATTACTAGTTGAATCCAATAAACCCAAACTTAAACCCAACGGTAACATGCAAAAAATGTAGACATATATATTAGAAGGTTTCGAAGCCATTATCCCATAAAAGACGATACACATGCTAGTGGATAAAAACATAGCACCTCTTGATCCAATAGCTCTATGTATTTTGTCATTAAGGAATGAAGCCAAAGTGTACCCAGCCATTGCAACTAGGAAAATATTCGAGAGCTGAGCTATAGAAGTATCATAATCTGCAATTAAAGTAGGCGCTAGAGACCCAGTAGATTGGTCGTTCATACCAAACACTAAGAACATACACATACAAAATATAACTTGAATTAATACCATTCGACTAGATTTAATATCTGATGGATATAACGTTACCATTTCACCATGCCATATAACCTCTCTAACCCCAATGGATTCTTCGACATTGGCAGAATCAGTAAGAGGTACACTTGGTGAACTAGAATCTTCAAACGTCTCTAAAAGATGTACTTCTTCTTGACCTCCATGAGGTGGCTCCTTATACTGTAGTGATGACGTTATAGTATCCTGACCAAGATCTATACCTGATTCTTCAACTGAACTCTCCATCGCTGAAACAACCTTGAAATACTTAAAGCTTAACCTTGTTGATTCTTATGGCTCAGATACAATTCAGAACTGATAGATACATCTCATACCTACCTCATTAATAAGGATCTTGCAATGAGTTGTTCATTTCTAAGTCATCACTGCCTGTTAAGTAGACGTATTTTAAAGCGAAAAGCTCATTAAAGTTGATATTGATATTAAAAAGGAATGTTTATAGAGTTAAAACCATCAATAGACACAGGAACACATCAATACTGCAACCTATAAGAATGCTGCTCCTAATGTCCTAGAGTTCCAGGTCCAGATCCATTTGATTTTCTTCCTCTCGATGTGTTTTCTTTGCTCATCTCTTTTAGATCTAATTATACTTAAGGTCATCGCAACGTTATAAATATACAAGAGCTGCTACTTTAACTTCAAATCAATGAGGATAAGAACCTGTTGAGGTGGGGATCGATGAGGATCAACAAGTGAGGTTAAATCTCCACTATTTGTGTCTATTCATGTCCTTCTCTATTAATGAATGTTGAGATGATATCAGGTTCAAGGTCTCCAATAAAGGTTCTAAACCATTTGTGGATTATCCTGACACATCAAAGAATTATTATAAAGGTACAGCTGCATTTTGATAAAAGAAGAACAGTATGTTTACAAGATTGGTATTCCAAAGTGCCAAGGACGTTTGATAATTTTATTTTATCTGTGCTGGCTCATTTGAGATTAACTGCTATTGGTTAATTGCTTACTATTAAATATAAAGGTTTTGGATATAAGAGAGTAAGAAAGAAAGAAAGAAAGAAAGAAAGAAAGAGAGTGAGTGTGTGACATCTAAATCTATGAGTGCTCTAAATAATAAAGATTTCATAACCAGAGAGGAGAATACTGAAGCTTATGGTACTGTTGTATCTTGTGAGAGTGTGGCGAGTTCTTGTAAGGATAAAGCTGAGCCAAATGACGAACCTATAGTTGTGAATGGCCCGTCTTCCTTACTGGTGCCAGTGCTATTATGTTCGATGATCTCTTTTGGAGGGTTCATCTTTGGTTGGGATATTGGTACTATTGGTGGTATCGTTAATATGCCTAGCTTCCAGTTGAATTTTGGGTTGTCTGTTGATGGTCCAAGCAGTGACACTTGGATAATTGGATTAGTTGTTTCGATATTTAATATTGGATCAGCTATAGGTGGGTTAACCTTAGCTAAATTGGGTGATCTATTTGGTAGGAAAGCTGGACTTTTCACTGCTTTGGGTTTCTATAATATTGGGTTATTCATCCAATTGATTAATGATCATAACTGGTATCAATTTTTTATTGGGAGAATTTTTACTGGGTTGGCTGTCGGATCTATTGCTGTTTTAGTGCCAATGTTTATATCGGAAAGTGCTCCATTAAAGATTCGTGGGTCCATGGTGTGTATGTATCAATTGATGATCACTTTGGGGATTCTTCTAGGTAATGTGGTGAATTATGGTTGTAAAGATATGTCTATAGTACAATTTCAAAACAAATCATGGCAGACACCTTTGAGTTTGGGTTTTGCTTGGGCTTGGATCATTGCTATAGGGTTGATATTCATTCCCGAATCTTCACAGTTTCTATTAAGGATAAAAAATGATGTTAATGCTGCTAAAGTCTCGTTTGCCAAGATGAATGGATTACAAATAAACGATGAAATGACAGATAGATACATATACACACAACAAAATATTACTGACAGTTTTAAGACAGAGGAGAAAAACGAGATTGCTATCGAAAGTGCTACTGATGACTCCAAAAATGATACAAGTAAAAATAGAAACTTATTTGAGTTTATCTCTGGCGAACCAAAACTAGGGTTACGTTTGTTTGTGGGGATAATGGCAATGATATTCCAACAACTTTCAGGTATCAACTATTATTTTTATTATGGTACCTCCATCTTCAAAAGTGTAGGACTTGACGACCCATATATTACTTCCATCTTATTATCATCAGTCAATTTTTTTGCAACCTTTGGTGGAATTTATTTTGTTGAAGCTATAGGAAGAAAATCGTGTTTGCTTGTAGGTTCGCTGGGTATGTTCTGTTGTATGATGATATATTCAAGTGTGGGTGGATTTGTAGCCAATACACCAACAACTGGTGCTGTCCTCATCATATTCACTTGCGTTTATATATGTTTTTTCGCTACAACACTAGGCCCAGTGACATACGTCCTTGTGTCAGAATTGTTCCCATTGCGCACTAGAGCCATATCGATGGCCGTATGCACATCATTTAACTGGATATTTGGTTTCCTAATATCATTGTTCACTCCAGTTATAATCTCAAAGATAGGGTTCCTGTTTGGTTATGTCTTTGCAGGATGTCTTCTGGCATCCGCCGTTTTCGTTTGGTTCCTTGTTCCTGAAACAAAGAACAAAACTGAACAAGAAATCGATGAGATGTACACATAACCATAAAGGAATAAAATACTAATATACTAATATATATATATATATTTAGATAACTGTGTTGTCACAATAATTCTAAATCATTGTCATTAATTCGAGTACTTTATTTTACCATCCATAAGAACAATTCTTCTTCCTCCTCCTCCTCCTCCTCTTCCTTCTCTTGCTGCTCTCTCATAAACAGATCTTGAATTACAGCTAAACAGAGGCAACTGGGACCACAACTAGCAACCAAAATGCATCAGTCCTGAGTCCAATCGACAACACATCCAAACTAATCCATCTTATAGTAACTGGTTCTTATCCTTTATGGTATTGTCTTACGTATGACGTATTGCTGCTACAGTAAAAACGAGGAGGAAGGGTGAGGCGGAGAGAAAGGCAAAAAAAATGTAGTCACGTGATCGTTGATAATTTGTGAAAAGGCCAAATCTCAAGATTTTGACCATCGTTGAAAGAAGACAAGCAATAATGAGTTTGGAATTAGTACAAGAAAGAGTAGAAATGTATAAGAAAGGCTACACTTAAAGGCTCAAATAGAGTTCTATTGTTTATTTTTAATTGTATTCAGTGTATCTGAGGTATTCAAAAGTGTATCTACTGCGATGTCTGTCGAAGAAGTTAGCAAGAAGTTTGAAGAAACTGTTTCCGTTAGTGGGAAAGTTCAAGTACAACATCCATTAAACAGTAAATGGACTTTATGGTACACTAAGCCAGCTGTGGATAAATCAGAGTCTTGGTCTGATTTATTGCGTCCCGTTACTAGTTTTGGTAGTGTGGAAGAGTTTTGGGCTGTCCATGAGAATGTTCCTGTTCCACATGAATTGCCATTGAAGTCTGATTACCATATCTTTAGAGATCAAATCAGACCTGAATGGGAGGATACTGCTAATGCTAAAGGTGGTAAGTGGTCATTCCAGTTGAGAGGTGGCCATGGCGATGTTGATGAGTTGTGGTTGAGAGCTTTGTTGAGTGTTATCGGTGAAACCATTGATGAAGAAGATTCTCAAATCAATGGTATTGTCTTGAGTGTTAGAAGAGGTACTTATAAATTTGCTTTATGGACTAAATCTCAAGAAAAGGAAGCGTTATGCAACATTGGTGCCAGATTCAAAGAGGTTTTGAAGTTGGGTGAAGAAGAAAAAATCGAATTCTTCCCACATTCTGCCTCTACTGCAAAACATGCTCAACCTGCTATTATTTTGTAAAATTATTATCAAATTGATAGCAAGTTTTTAAAAAAATATAAAACACATTAAAATAATGAAATCAACAATGATCAATTATATGTACTTTTTTATTTCGTAAAAATTATTATTTTTATCTATACAATGTGTAGCATGGGGATTATAATGCATATTGAATCTCCCTCATATTATGCATCTGTTAATTCTTTGAAATAGCTAAATTTGTATAGTTGTAAGTTATTATTAATCAATATTATTGGTATTTATGCTGGTGATAATTTATATAGAGACAGAGACAGAGATGGATAACAGGGCATTATTAGGTATATTCATATCATTGACCAAGAACATTTTGCACATAAAATCCTGAAATTAACAAGAAATAAAGTAGTACTAATATTACTCCTTTAAAATAATTCGAGTTCCCCTCAGCAAAAAGATAGGTAAACATAATGACACTTGTCAAAAGTGTCATAATATCCCATAGTGGGAATACCATTGGAAATAACTGTTGGGTGACTACAATATTCTCATCTTTGTTAACCCAAATCTTGATAGTGGAAAATAAAATTAAAGCTGGAATCTGTAATAAACATACTTGTAAAACATAAGCACTACCAATCTCCATCGATAATGCAATATTGCCCTTTAACGCAAAAGATATAGCATTGATAAATTCGGTAGTATTCGGAACCAATGCTATGACGATTAACCCCAAAAGTTTGGGATTTAATGATGAAAAATCTTCTAATATAGATTGAAGACATTCAATGAGTATTTCAGATATAAGAGTATAACACACAGTTGATCCTAATAAAATTGCAATGGATTTCTTCATCGACCAATTGGCACAAGAATTAGTATCTTTACTTAATGCCCTGCTTGCATCTTGTGAATCAACAGCAATGGGACCTAGGAGGACATCTGATAAATTACTCTTTGAGTGCCTCACAACTTGGTTCTGCAGTATCAAAACTGCATGCGTCTTCAGTGTAAACCATAAACCTGTAATGTATGCAAGAAACAGTATGAATGAACTTAATTGGGATATTGGTTGTATTACATGAATGAAGAAGTCATCAAAAATTGGAGGTGACAAAACAAAGTGACACTTTTCATTATCTCTTACCGCCTTACTGGTGCATACTATTTGATATTCGCCATATAATATGTATGTTAATGTTGGCATACAGGTTACAATACTTGAAAAAATCAAAAGAGCAGATGTTATTCCTGCACTTGATGGGTTGTATCTCTGTATTTTTCTGGGTATAGCTCCACTGCACATTGATAAACCTGGAAGCAGTAATACGGCTCCTAAAATTGATCCAATTATTGAACCTTCTACCAATAATCCTTCATTGTAGTTTAGTGCTACACAGTAAAGATACACTTCGACAACTGATGAGAAGAATGCATTAAATACTGCACCAAGTGTCATTGATGTTTGAGTCGAGATTGAAGCAATAGCTTGACCAATGTAAAATGACAGAGTCACAATTGACAGTAAACAAAGTACAAATATAAAGGTTCTTCCACTAATTCCTGACTCATAACCCAACAACCGATGCAATATATAGTAGTCAACAAATGTCAATAGAACAACAACTAATAAATTAGTTACTATAATATTAATTCCATCAACTGTATATTTATAATAATTTAACGCACTTGCCTTAAATGTACAGAAAAGAGATTCAATCTGGCTCCTGTCATCTGATTGTTCTAGGATCCTATTAAAATCATCTAGAGTGTCATAATGTAACAGCAAATAATCATATTTAAATCTTTGTCTCAAACCCCATAGTATTTTGCTGGTGGGTATTGTTAAAACTAACATCCATAGAATTGATGCGATGATGATTAGGGCAGGTTGTATGATCAAGTCAAATATACAACGATGTAAGTAATAAAATATACTCAATTCTTTATATCTTTTGAATTTTTGAGTTGTAGAATTTGTTAAATCTCCTCCATAGTTTACTTTTAACTTCGATGGATTATTTTGTTGGTCCTGAATAGATGTTATTGTTCCATATGAGGGCTGTTCAATTATTATTATAGGTTTTGATTCAGATTCATTACGCTCTAAATAAACTACTTTCCCAAAAGGATAAAGCAGATATAATGCTGTACTATAATATTTATCTCTATACAATACAACAAGTGGACTGAAACAATAAAGCAATTGCATTATCAAGGCACCTCCAATAAATAATAAAAATAACGGTAACCCAAAAACTATGGACCACAGGAAATTTAAAAAGGTAACACTTTTCGAATTAGTTTTGAATTCAGTTTCATGAATGTCTTGATATGCCATTTGTTGAATCGATCTCTCCTTTCTATATAAAGCAGCCTTCCAAACTTTGACTGCAAACGGATGGACTTTATTCATAATCTCTTGTCTTCTTCTCAACGTGTCAGGCCCAGAGAAGGATTCATTAATATTTTCCAAGTAATCTTCATTAGGATCCCTATGGAAGTGATTAATAACTAATTCTTCTCCAGCAAGTTTAGGATGGCTATCAACATTAAAGTCTTCTATATTACTTGTATCATATAGAAGACAGACATTTGGCGAAGGTGTCCCAAAATATGTATTCTCAACAACTTCTTGTGATTCAACTCCTGCTTCTTGGTTATAATCAAATATAATATTGGGCAAAGAAGTAGAAACATGTAAACCTTCATTCTTAACATCATCTGCCCTCTTAATCGGGTACTCTATGGGTTTATTTCCTAAGCCATTTTGGCGATATCCTATGCCAATATCTTCAGTAGATAAAACATTATCTGGGGTAAGGTTTTCTAAATCCTCCATGATCCTTTATCACATAGGTATGGTTCACTTATCTATTATATGATTACTTTTGATATATTATCTAACTATAAATAAAAATCAGTTTTATGTTTTATTAGAAGCTCATCGCCAAATTTAAAGGGTACTTAATTAATTAATTACCCTTTCAAGCCAAACAGCATGTGTTGCTATAGAAACATGGACGTATTAAACAAAACTAACTAGTGATAAGTAAATCAGATCGACTGCTCATCAAAGCTATCATTAGTTCACACTTCAATTGGTTTCTTATTAAATATTCAATTAAATTTAGAATTAATTGTGATTAACAGTTGTCTAATACCAAACTTGTACAAACTTTAGTTTAGCACAATATCTGGATAAAATGTAGGTCATGATACCAAGAGAAGTTGATCATTAAGAAATCCTAAAATATATAATATTGTATATAGGAAATATATATATATAATTAGGATGATGATTGCCTCTTCTATACTTTAACATTTCAGTTACCATAAACGTCGTTAATGGCTTTTTCAAATATATTCATACCTTGATGAATATTTTCATCTTCAATTGTTAAAGCTGGAACAAATCTTACGGTACTTTTGCCCGCTGTGATCACCAATAAACCTAAATCCCTAGCCTTTTTGATCAATTCAGAAGGAGGTTCTTTAAATTCGGCACCAAGCATCAGACCTTTACCTCTAATATCCACAATTTGATCTGGGAACTTTTCTTTTAGATCTTTCAAACGACTCTCTAGGATTTCACCCTTTCTCAAGACTTCATTCAAAAATTGCTCGTTAGAAATAGTGTCAATAACATATTTACTTACTGCACAACCTAATGGATTACCACCATAAGTGGTACCATGGTCACCTACTTGTAATGCATTATTGACTTTTTCATTTACAATAGTAGCAGCAATTGGAAAACCATTACCTAATGCTTTCGCTGAAGTAAATATATCTGGATGAGCATCCTTTGGTAAGTAAGAATGGGCCCAAAGCTTACCTGATCTTCCCATGCCACATTGAATCTCATCGTAAATTACAATGACATCATTTTCTGAACAAATCTTCTTTAGACCTTGTAGAGTTTCAATAGGAACTGGGAAAACACCACCTTCACCTTGGATAGGTTCCACGATTAAACCTGCTAATTTATCTTTATTACTTGTAATGTAATCTTGCAATTTTGTTAATTGATCATTAATGTTCAAAAACGTAACATTAGGAACCAAATCGCCAAATGGAGTTCTATATTTGGCATTCCATGTAACAGATAATGCACCCATAGTACGTCCATGAAATGAATGTTCAAATGCCACAATACCTTCTTTATCTTTACTCTTTAAGATACCATGCTTCTTGGCAAATTTTAAGGCTGCTTCATTAGCTTCAGTTCCTGAATTACACAGGAAAACCTTAGAAGCATCGTATTGACCTCCAAAGGCCTTAGTATGCTCTACAATTTTCTTGCTCAAATCTAAACACTCCTTATTGAAATATAAATTAGAACTGTGAACCAATTTCTTTGATTGTTCTGCTAATATTTTACTAACTTCTTCATTAGAATGGCCTAAAGAAGTCACTGCAATACCAGCAGTGAAGTCAATATATTCTCTACCATTTATATCATCATATAACTTAGCATTGTTACCCCTAGTAATACATAAATCTTCAGGTCTAGCATAAGTAGTTACCTGAAATGACTTCTCTTCTAAAACGTTGCTAATTCTTCTTACAGAAGTGGTACTAAAAAATTTTCTAAGCATCACTAATCTATTTTATGTAACACTATCTCCATTCTTTAATCATCTGTATCCGTCTCATCAATCACAATACAATTCTTTTAACCTATATCCATCACCTAATCTCATCTCTTATATATGGATCAGAATTTTTCACTTTTAAAACTGCTCCTGTTGGTCCACCATATCGATAGCGTTGTTAATATATCCCACTATTTAAATAGTTATGACTCACACATTCGGGATATAGAGACCTCAATTAGCAACTTGAAGCTATGACTAACCAATAAGCTTATTTATTGGACCAAGATTGTCTTATTTGAGTGGTATTCTATATATTTTATTTAGATTTCTATGAGTTAGGTTGGCTGATGACCCATCAACGATGTTGGTTGAAGAATATTTAATAATCGATGCGTAAAATGGTATTAGAGATTGAACCAAATCCATAACAGGTTGCACCACCACCAACGATAAGTATACTTCTTCCATTGTTAGTTTTTTGTAATTCAAATCCAACGAAACATAAGTCACTTTCTTGCCAAATGTTACTTGGGATTTCAATTGATCTTATATCACCGGTGGTGATGTCAATGGCAACAATCGTATCGCTTTGACCATATAATTTATTAGGACTTGTACCTCCAACGACTAATACTTCATTGTCGTCGATAAACTGGCTCTTACCGCCATATCTTTGGAAGACAACGTCTTTGAAACGATTCGTTATAGTAATGGAACCATCAGAATAACTAAAAACCATAGCCTCATCAGATACCTTGCTATATTTGTGACAGGCACCACCTATAATTACACCAGTTTGTGTTTTGATGTTATAAGAAATTGCTGCTGCTACTAAGGATTCATTGATATCATAACCATTCACCTCACACTTGTGAAATGTGTTAGATTTGGTATTGTACAGAACAAATGGATCATCTGTGGTATCACCTCCGCATATTAATACATTTTCATCATCCACCATGAAAGCACTATGTCTATATCTTTTAGCATTCAACTGGGCACCTTTTGACCATTGCTTGGTGGATAAATCTAATTTCCAGCATTCATCAAATCCTTGTCCTGGAGCCTTTCTACCTCCTATGGATATTATTTCAGATTCAGAGATTCTACTTAAGGTATGGCACATTCTTCCAATTGGTGTATCCGTAGTATCTATTTTTTCTTGCGTAATAGTAGTCGTATCAATTTCTATGGTTTCGTTGATTCTTGTTGGGTTAGCACCACCAAAATATAAGATGGAAGATTCGAGAGCTTCAGATGCACCAAATTTCCTTTTGATATCGTTATTCAAATCAATGATTTTAAATTTATCGGATTTCTCTATATTTGAAAGTTCAGAATTCATAGAGAACTTGAAATTCTCACCAAACTTGAATTCTTTATCGTTAGTTGCATGACATAAAACGTAATGATGACAAAATAAATGAAATTCTTCAAGTTCATCGAATGGCTCAATTGCTTCTATTTGACCACGTAACTTAACATCTACTTGATCCCATAGTTGTAGCAGATCACCTGCATTGACATTAACAAATCCTAATTCTTTAAATCTGTCGATTTGTGATTGAATTGTATGGTACTTCAATACAGATTGCAATGGGGAATCATTCTTTTTGAAATGTTGTAACATTTGCTTTGAAAATGGTTCATACAAACCTTCTGGAACCAATTGCTCCATGATTATAAAATGAGAGTTAAAAAGAGAAGAACAAATTGAAATAATTTTGTCTGCACATTCAGGCTTCATATATGCTAAGGAAACTTCTGCAATAAATAGCATTATAGTATCATCATCATTTGATTGGTAACCTTTTATCAATTTTTCAAAACTTTCAGAATCGTTTAAATTACATGACACAGCTTCATATTTTGATGTCTTGAAATGATCCTTCGATTTGGTGCTACCTATAGATTCTGTTTCAGAACCCAGTATATTAATCAAATCAGGTTGCTCACGTATCATACGTACTTTGTTAACAATTAGGTCAGAATAATCAACATCTAAGAACGAGAATCTACCTTCAAACTTTTTGCTATCCAGATTTTCAGTATCCAAAATTTGGAAAGGTAGTGGATCAAACCCACAACCTAGATTCACAACTAACACTTTTTTGTCACTATTTTCTAATAAACATTCCAACCTAGAACGAATAGCATGCAATCTAAGCCAATAACCTCTGTTGATGCAAGGTGACCTTTTAGGAGCCTTTGGTACAAAGTATTTGAAATATTGTCTATTTGGTTTACTAGAGTCCTGATCTCTGTTCATATCCAATTTAGGCAAGTAAAGCAACTCCACAGATCTTTTCGATGCAATTGATGAATTGTTAGTTCCCTGAATAGCAAGATCTGCATA